ACTGAAAGATAAAAATCATATAGTCATATCAATAGATGCAGAAAAAGCATTTGATAAAATCCAACACCCTTTCCTGATAAAAACTCTCAACAAGGTGGGAGTACAAGGATCATACCTCAACATAATAAAAGCTATATATGATAAACCCACAGCCAACATTATACTCAATGGGCAAAAACTAAAACCATTCCCTCTAAGAACAGGAACAAGACAGGGATGCCCACTCTCGCCACTCCTGTTTGACATAGTACTGGAAGTACTAGCCATTGCAATTAGACAAGAGGAGGAAATAAAAGGCATCCAAATTGGAAAAGAAGTAGTAAAGTTATCCTTATTTGCAGATGATATGATATTATACATAAAAAACCCAAAAGACTCCATTAAAAAACTAATTGACTTAATAAATGAATTTGGCAATGTAGCAGGATACAAAATTAATGCCAAGAAATCCACGGCATTTCTATACACCAACAGCGAAACTATAGAAACAGAGATTAAAAAAGCAATTCCATTTACCATCGCACCAAAAAAATTAAGATACCTAGGAATAAATTTAACTAAGGAAGTAAAGGACCTATATGCAGAAAACTACATGACACTGAAAAAAGAGATAGAGGAAGATGTAAAGAGATGGAAGAATATACCATGTTCATGGATCGGTAGAATCAACATCATCAAAATGGCCATACTTCCTAAAGCAATCTATAGGTTCAATGCACTCCCCATTAAAATACCAACGGCATATTTCACCGACCTAGAAAGAACTCTCCAAAAGTTCATTTGGAACAATAAAAGACCCCGAATAGCCACAGCAATCCTGAGAAAGAAGGGTAAAGTAGGAGGGATCTCAATACCAGACTTCAAACTGTATTACAAAGCCACTGTTCTCAAAACAGCCTGGTACTGGCACAAAAACAGACATATAGATCAATGGAATAGAATCGAGAACCCAGATATCAACCCAAATCACTATGCTCAATTAATATTTGACAAAGGAGGCACGAATATACAATGGAGTCAAGACAGTTTCTTCAATAAATGGTGTTGGGAAAATTGGGCAGACACATGCAAAAGAATGAAACCAGATCACCAACTTACACCATACACAAAAATAAACTCAAAATGGATACAGGACTTAAACATCAGACGGGAAACCATAAAAATACTAGAAGCATCCGCAGGCAGCAAAATCTCAGACGTATGCCAAAAGAACTTCTTCACTGATACTACCCCTAGGGCAATGGAAGCTAAAGAGAAAATAAACAAATGGGACTACATCAAAATAAAAAGTTTTTTTACAGCAAAAGAAACCATCAACAAAACAACAAGAAAGCCCACGGTATGGGAGAATATATTTGCAAATAATACCACGGATAAAGGTTTAATCTCCAACATCTACAGACAGCTGATACAACTAAATAAAAGGAAGATGAATGATCCAATTAAAAAATGGGCAATGGACCTAAATAGAATATTTACAAAAGAAGACAGAAAGAAGGCCAAAAGGCACATGAAAACATGCTCAAAGTCACTAATTATCCGAGAGATGCAAATCAAAACAACAATGCGGTACCATCTCACACCTGTCAGAATGGCCAACATCAACAAATCAACAAACGACAAGTGTTGGCGAGGTTGCGGAGAAAAAGGAACCCTCGTGCACTGCTGGTGGGAATGCAGACTGGTGCAACCACTGTGGAGAACAGTGTGGAGTTTCCTCAAAAAACTGAGAATGGAACTCCCATTTGACCCAGTAATCCCACTTCTAGGAATATATCCCAAGAAACTAGAAACACCAATCAGAAAGGATATATGCACCCCTATGTTCATAGCAGCACAATCTACAATAGCCAGAATCTGGAAACAGCCTAGGTGCCCGTCAGCTGATGATTGGATCCAAAAACTTTGGTACATCTACACAATGGAATACTATGCTGCCATAAAAAAGAAGGAATTCTCATCATTTGCAGCAACCTGGATGGAATTGGAGAACATCATGCTGAGTGAATTAAGCCGATCAATGAAAGAGAAACACCACATGACCCCACTCATTTGTGGATAATAAAGATCATTATAAACTGATGAACCAAAAGATAGATATAGAGACAGTAAAGCAACAAGCAGATTCTCAAATTACAACGGGGAGTGGAGGAGGGTCTGGGGGAGACAATAAGTCAACCCAAGGACTTGTATACATGCATATAAGTACAACCAATGGACATAAAACTCTGGGGAGGGAGGGGATACGTGGGAGGGAAGGAGGGGGGCAAAAAAAAAAAATCAATAAAATATGTAAAATAAAATAAAAAAAAAAAAATAAAAAAATAAAAAAAAAAAAAAACTAAATAGAATCCAATGACATTCAATATTTTCTTTTAATCCTCATTGGGAGATACGTTTTTATTGTCTTCATAGAGAAAAGGAAGGAGAGAAAGAGAAGGAGGGAGAGAGGGAGGGAAGGAATGAGGGAAGGAGGGAAGGAATGAGGGAGGGAGGGAGGGAGGGAGGGAGGGAGGGAGGGAGGGAGGGAGGGAGGGATCAATGTGAGAATCATTCTGTTGCCTCCAGTACATAATCCGACCAGGGATCGAACCCACAACCAACATTCAATGTTTTAATAGTGTTTTGAATGCCTGAAATGCTTACATTTTTAGAAGGTTCATTACTCATTCAATCAATTTCAGATAGGCTTGAGCTAGGAGGTATTAGAAGGACACAGAAATGTGCAAGACACATAGTTTTTGCCTAGAAGTGCTTAGAATCTAATTAGAAAAATCAGACAAGCATATGAAAAGACTTAAAAAGCAACAAATGAACTAATTTGCTAAAGAAAGAAAGAAAAAAAAAAGGTAGGTTGCTGAGGAACTTAAGGAAGGAGAAAATTCTGAGCTTTTCGGGTAACACTAGTAGCACTTTAAGATCCTGAAATGAAGGGAGAATCAGAATTAGTGGTGGGGACCTGGGGATTGGAGGTAATGTAGGGGTGGAGGCGTGGTGGCAGGGAATACATGAATGTCCAAACAGGGGGAAAAGAAAGACTATTAAAAAACAAATCAGCCCTGGCTGGGAAACTCAGAGCATTGTCCCAATACGCCAAAGTTACAGGTTCAATCCCTGTTCAGGAAACATGTAAAAAGAATCAACCAATGAATGCATCAATAAGTAGAACAACAAATTGATGTTTTACTTTCTCTTTATCTCTCCCAGTCCAAAACTCTCTCCCTCTCTCTCAAATCAGTAAATAAATGTATGTTTTTATAATTAGCAAATATATAGATGTTCTCACACAAGGCCACACTGCTGTGCATACAAGGATATTCATAGGATATTGGTTAAATAAAGTATAGCATATCCACACAATGAAATATTATGGAGCTATTGAGTGAGGCAGCTTTATATATACTGACATATACTATATACTGATAAGTGAAAAAAGCAAGTTACAGAGTGTGAATACAAATTTGTGTTTACAAGAAAACAATATTTATGCTTATATGCTTGTATTCTAACATTTTCATAAACTATCCATAGAAAGACGCAGAAGGAAGTTATAAATAGTGGACACCTCTGCTGGCTGAGAACATAGGTAGGTTAAAAGCAAGGGAGCATCGCCCTAACCAGTTTGGCTCAATGAATAGAGAGTCGGCCTGCGGACTGAAGGGTCCCAGTTCTCCCTCTCCCTTCCTCTTTTAAGTAAATAAAAATATTTTTTTTAAAAAGACAAGGGAGCATCTTCTGCAGAAGGTAGCTGGACTAGAGAACATCCTAAGCTTCGGGTTAAAGTTAGATAATACGCCAACTCTAGAGCAAGGTTTCTTCACTATGCACTACAGACAATGGGGCCAGGTCATTCTTTTGGGGGGTAGAGGGGGAGATGACTGGGGGTCAGAAGGGCTGTCCTGTGCAGTGTAAGATGTTTAGCAGCATTTCTGGCTTCTCTCCACTGCATGTTGATAGTACATACATCCCTCCCACCCCTGGCTGTAACTACCAAAATGTCTCTACACTGCCAAAGTGCCCTGGGAAGCATAATTGCCCCAGGTTGAGAACCACTGCTCAAGAGCCACAATGTTAACAGTTAACCTATAAAACAGTCTAGTACTATAGTACTATAAATCAACAACAAATGCAATATACACTCAGATATGGATCTAAAGAATGTTGTGGATATTATTTGGAAATAGCCTTCACACATCAGTTAGTTTCTCATGTTATGATAATATGAACTGAACCTTTTGGGTCTCTAAAGCAATTTTGCCAGTTAGTAGACCAGCCCCAAACCCCAACCCCAATCCCACCCAAACAGCATGCACTGATTCCAGGTCTTCCATGGTGCCCAGGAAGGCAACCTGCCCACACAAATCTAATAGAAAATCATATTTTTCCCCAGCTTTTGGAAAACTAATATAATTATTGATCAATGCAAGTTACTTGCATTAGTTCATAATGTTTCTTCTCTTAATTCCTAACGACCACACAAGGTGCAAGACATTGTTCAAAAATAATGAAAGACATCACCCCGATTTCAAGATTATAAAGAGAATGATTAGCTTATTAAGCCAAGAGAGGCTTAACTAGATTCTATAAATCACATTGTATTAAGCATAAAGCCATTTCTAATATACCACAATCAATGAGGAAGGGGGAAGGGTATCAAGAAATCCAACAGGCTTGAATATTTTTCAAAAATGCTGTTGATATTCCTGTATCTGTTCTTTTCCCAAAACCAGAAAACCAATAATACCCTGGCAATCTTGGCTTCATAATTTGAAGTCACTGATTCCTCCAAAACCGTTGTAGGTGAAAAGTTCTGGATTTCATTCCCATAAAATAGTGCTCTTTAAATTCTAGGACTGTGTCAGCTACTTGTGTTTAGCTCTCAGGAGGTTGGCTCTCCTTCGTGGAGGTGACCTCCAACGGCCTGCCTCTGCCATGAATACACCTGTGAGTGGCTATAGAAGGTGCTTAAAAGTGTCCGCGGCGGAAAAAAAGAAACTCACCATTCTAACTACTTCGGGGTAAGTCTGCTCTGTCAAACAGCCTCTGCTTATTGTAATGTAGTCCACCAGTTCATTAAGAGTGGAGCGCTTGTATTCTTTCATTTTAAGATCAGATAGCGTGTCCATGAAGTCAAAAATGACACAGCACTGCTGAAGTTTCTTTAGGAACAGTTCAGGCTGCTCTGAGGATGGAACGTCTAAGAAAAAAAAAGGAAATGGTATAAGTCTGTCATCAATTTCTAGGTAACAGGAATTCTCTGTGAAAGTTATTTCAAAAGCAAGTTCAAAAAAAATAAGAATTCACATGACAACAGTGTTTTTTAACAGTTACATATGGCCAGGAGGGGATACCACATCCACTACTTCAGACAACTTGTCTTTGAAAATTTATGATACCAACATAATTGACCGTATTTGTCATTCCACACCAAAGATTGACCAAAATCCCAAGAGCCATTAGAGTTGAAGCTAATTTTAACCCAAACACCCCAATGTCAACTTCCTTAAGCTAAAAACAATGAAAAAGGTCAAAGTTCCCATTATAAGGTAAAAGCAAGAAGTTTTCACTGTTGGTAAAAAAAATTTCAAAGCAGATATGTCAGTCGATTCATTTTAATTTCATGCTGACATCCTTGGTATTTAAAGCAAATGATGAGTGGTATGTATTTTTGTGTGTGTGTGTGTGTGTGTGTGTGTGTGTGTGTGTTACTTTGGCTTGCTATCTATGAAGTTTTTTTTTGTCAAAGAAGTCAACAAAATGAAGTAATACCAACTCTCAAAAGAGTACATGAGTACTAGGACAATAAGAATGATTGCTACTTAAATCTATGCTCTTTCTTTTGACCCATCTTCTTCCCTTGCAGTGGAAGAAAACCACTAGCATCTTATTAATATGTCCTCAGAATAAAAATCTATCTTTTCCCACAAATAGAGGGCCCAACATTTGGTTTTGTCTCATTTCTAAAAAATACCTAGAAATTTTAGGTTAAAATTCCCCAGCTAGAATGGAAACCTGATCTAAAGTTGAACTTGAAATATTGAACTTAAAGTTAAACCAATTAAGTTGTACCTAGCTATTCCTATCTTCTTGCCACTTTTTATTCCCCCAAACTGGAGCTTCCCTAGAAAGACAATGAAATTATGACCAGAGTAAGCTCTGCAGCTTTCATCTAAGGTGATTAACTCATCAATCCTCAAAACATTATTAAAGACAAGCTGGTGGCATTGTATTATTATTCTCTATTTTCCAAAAAGAAAAGTAGAGACAATCATTGAGGTTCCACAATGAGTGAATTATGGGGCTGGCACAGTGCCCGGGTCTCTAACCATACTCCCATGTTTCCTTTGTACTGGTACTCATGAAAGACTTCAACAAGGTTTGGCCAGTTACTTGCAAACAGCCTTTGCTGCCAGCCTCCCAGTAAATGCTTTACAGCAGCTTCAAAGGATGGGCCACCAGCTCCCTGAAGGTAAGTGCAAAGCTAGCAGCACCCACCTTATCACCATCAGCAGCCCCAGCAGAAAGCAGCAAGGGCTAGGCGTGTCCATGAAGTCAAAAATGACAAAAATTCCATGTGACTACTCTCTACAACCTTTTGCCCCTCTTTGCACTTCACAACCCAAGTGCTACCCCAATTATTCAGGACTTCATAGATAATTTCCCCAAAACACTGCCTGCTGCATCAATTTTAGGATAAAACTAAAACGTGGATAGGATACCTAAAAAAATGGGATTTCTCTACCAGATATAAGGGAACAAGAGGTAGTCAATGTTTTTTAAGGTATATGACATTACTGTCACTCTCAGAAAAGTTATAAATTTAGAAATCATTATTAACCAATGAGTTTCCCCTCCCACCACTGTCCCCATAGGTCCCTAAAGGCCCAATGTATCTTATAGTCAAAGACTTTGGAATTTGAATTAAGCCATGAGACATGTCTTATTCTATGCCCCTAGACTTAATCACTTTTAAAACATCTAGCATTAGCCGAAACCGGTTTGGCTCAGTGGATAGAGCATAGACCTGCGGACTGAAAGGTCCCAGGTTCGATTCCAGTCAAGGACATGTACCTTGGTTGTGGGCACATCCCCAGTAGGGGGTGTGCTGAGGCAGCTGATCGATGATTCTCTCTCTTCGGTGTTTCTAACTCTCTATCCCTCTCTCTTCCTCTCTGTAAAAAAAAAAATCAATAAAATATATATTTTTTTAAATTTAGTCAGACCAAACATCTTTAACTGTTACCTACTTCAATGTTTAAAATAAACAAAAACTAAACAAGGCTGCTCATAAACGTGACTACATACCCTTAACCAATGCCTAACTATATACACAGAACCAACATGATTAATTACTAAACTTTTCTTAGTTCTAAATCAGATCCCATACCTCGAAGCTGAAAGGAATTTTTATGATGTATAAGGAATAAGAAAGAGCTTATTATTGTAACATTAAAGTTAAAATATTTAAGGGAAAATTTAATTAATCCTATTTTTGATGCAGTAACTTTATTAAGGCTTAAAAACCAGACCTTCCACATGGAGAACTCCAGAACTCAACACATATGAATTATGAAGGCATCTATAAATGATAACCTTTTCTCCAAAAAGCAAACCATATTTAAGCAGTGACGACAACAATTAATCTTTGCGGTCAGTGCAATAATACTCAAGAGATTCATATATTTGGTTATTTGAAAAATCCAGGCAGTTAATCTTTAGCCTATTTTTTTAATGTTAAGCAGCTGAAATGAATTCTTTATTTAACCAAATTGATGTAATGTTATAAAACAAATGTGAAGAAGGTTATCCACCTGCTTAATGAAACAATGATGATAGTTTACATTTATTGAGTTCTAGTACGAGGTACATAATTAGGTACTGTTCTAAGCACTTTCACATACTATTATCTCATTTAATCCCAACAACAATGCCATCAGTAGGTACTATTTCCAACTTAAAAGATGAGAAAACCAAGACAAAGAGATCCAAGGACTTGCCCAGAGTCACAGAACTAACAAGCAGTGGAGACAGGATTCAAACTCAGGCAGACTGGTCCAAAGCCGGGACTCTTCACCACCATGCAACATTCAAACTCAGTGAAAGACAAGAGTAATGCCATATTCCATAGAACAGAGTATGTGCAAAGTGAAGAGGAAGAATGCAGAAGGAAATCAACAAGTCAATCTCTAATATGACCCATTCATAAAGGATCATGCTGAACCCCTTCTATGTCTCCCCTTTACCCATTCCCCAGAGACTAACATATGTACCAATAAGCTTTCCTTTCTACTTTTAACAGAATAAATTCTTCTAAAGTGATTTCCTCTTCTTAAAAAACTTGTCAAAACTGACTCAAAGAAAAAGAGAGGGAGAGGTTTCCTCAAAGAGCAAATTCTTTCATGGCAACAATTTTTTAAAATTTTTTCATTCATACTGAAAGATGTCCTAACTTAGTCCAAGCAAAGGGTTCTTCCTGTAATGTTCAGCCCTTGAATTGTCCCACATATTCAGCCTGCTCCCCAGGTCCTTGCTCTTCTCTCCCTAGTTTGGTGGGATTTGAAAAAGTAGAATGTGAAAAGATAGGACAGGATGAGAGAAGGAACATTCTGGATAGTTCAGAATATTTCAATTATAAAAGTTTAATGTCTATGGAACCAGACCCAGAGGCAGATACAAATGGCAGTTATACATCTCACTGTCTTGTTCTTCTCTTTCTTTTTTTAATAGTTATTTTCTCCCACATGCCTTTTCATTATTATCCATCCATTTCTCCAATTAACGCAAAAAATAATGGTACCAACACAGATTGAGTATGTAAAGGTGGTCTTCAATTCCCTTCACCTCAGCCCTTAGAACTTTCTCTATGGTGCACAAATCCCCATCCATGTATGCTATCAGTCCCTCACACAAAACTCTCCAAACATCAATAAAGTCAGTGAGAATTTTAATTGCATAAGGCATATTAAGGTTATATTTATAGAAAATTAGTCCCATAGTACCAGGGAAAGCTGAGCACTAAAATATTAAGTTGACCCAGCAAGTGGCTCAGTGACTCATAGGTTGGGCATCAACCTACAAACAAGGAGGTCATGGTTTGATTCCCGGTCAGGTCATATGCCCAGGTTGCAAGTTCCACCCCAGTAGGGAGCATGTCAAAGGCAGCTGATCTATGATTCTCTCTTATCAGTGATGTTTCTATCTCTCTCTCTCCCTCTCCCTTCCTCTCTGAAATCAATAAGAAATGGAAAACAGGATGTTAAGTAAGATGTGATCAACAGGTATTCATTCACTAGAATAGAAACAGAAACCAGAATTATCCACAAAACTAAGAAACATATGGAGTGAAGAAAAGCAACTTATAGAATACATATAATATGATTCAATTTGTATAAAATTCAAAGGATGCAAAACTAGGTCATAAACTGTTTTAAACAATTAAAATAAAATATTAAGTTGACTTGGCCCTGAATGACTGAAACATGGCAGACCAGCACATATGATAAAGTGCCTAATTCCCTGTCCATGTTGAATGTCCAAATCCTTGCCACCAACTTTACTTCTATACATAGATATAAGCAGCAGTCCCTTTTCGTAGCACGTATTTTTAAGAAAACTAAAAAGAATCCTATTTTACTAGTGGAACTATGCTTCTATTAGAAATTGCTTTTGACATCTGAAAGAATTATAGTTATAACCAATAATATTTCATAAAAACAAGGAGACATTTATAAATCTTTATAATGAATCAAATTAATACAACTGGGCTTCATATCCTATGAACTGTACCAAGTATAACATGGTACAGATACTTCCATGTAAATGAGCAAGTAAGAAACTAACCTGTTAGCTAAAATTATTATATACTTGAATATTCCAATTACTTTATTACTGTATTCAAAGTAGTGGGTTCAAAAACATTTGTTGTTGCTGATGCTGGTGGTGGCAGTATTTCAAATGACTTCAATTTGTGGCCACAGTTGAAAATCACTGTTTTTAAAGTAATAACTTTAAAATCCTTCTTTAATCTCCTTCACCTTTGAAATCCTTCTCTCTGTGTTTATTTAAAGCTATCAGTGAAAACATCCATTTCCAAGCAAAGGAAAGTCCCAGAAAACATCTCCAAGAGTGAAAGTCTTCCTACTTGGCCTCAACTATAAGTAAATGAATGTAGAGTTGGCTGCCTTTAGAACTTATTCC